TTATTTTATGTACTACTAAATGAAAAAAAAAAATTTGTCCCGACGACCTATCTTCTATGCGCAAAAGGCTACCGTATTTAAAAATATGCTATTTTTTATTAAAATTCTAGGTTTTGTATTTTATTTTATTTTAAAATATTTTATTAGGGGAATAAACTGACTTTCATGAATATTATATAATTTCATTGACATAGAATAAAGTTCATAAGACATATGATATTATACTTATTAACATTTTTTACTTTTTTAAAGTCGAAAAAGTAATTTTTAAATTTGAGTTAGCTTAAATAGCCAATTTTATCATGCAACAAAAATCAACGAATAGTTGCCGAATGGGTAACACCTTGATCTTTAACGCCTAGGGTACGAGGTTCAAATCCGTTTGTGGCTTCTAAAATTTTGCATTTTTTTTTTGAGTTAGAATAGAATTTTCAAATCATTTGATATTTATCTCATTTAGATTCAATAATTTCAATAAATATAAAGGATCTTATCACTTTAGTCTCCCCTCGTGAGAAGAAATTGATATTCATGTTAATATTATTTTACTATGTGGTTCTTTTTCTGGCTACGATTTATTTTGCCAACCCTCACTAGACCTACTTTTTTCAACGATACGTCAAATGATTCATTTAAGTTTATGATATTTAAGTTAATGATTAGTTTAAGTTATTACTCTTAAAAATCAAAAAAATATTCCTTATTCAAATAAAAAGTAGCTTAACTAGATTTGTCCATACAAACAATTAAAATCATTAATTTTTAATATTCTTAAATTATTTATTGTCGAATTAAATTTGATATGATAAAAGTATTCAACTACAAAAGTAAATAATTTTACTTTATAATTTATTAATTTTTTAACTCTATTTCTGTGTGCTACTACCAGTCTATAATATGCCAAATTTTTTAGTAATATTTTGCTATATAAATCATAAATTTAAAAAAAAAATGATTTTTAGTTTCACCTGAAGTTAACGATGGAGTTTTACAATTATAATTATATTTTTGATAATATGCTCAATTGAGTAAATCTTTTTAACTACTTTGGTTTGATTGGTTCATTTAATTAAAGTAAATTATTAAAATTAATTAAGTTCTGAATATTTCAATTGCAGAATTTTTTTAAACACCAAAAGTTATTAGGATATGATTACTATTCTTTATATTTCAATTATCTATTACGATAAAAATGTAAAAAAATCGTATTTTTCTGACAAATGTACTGTAATTAGTGATTATAAAATTTCCAGATTGCATATTAATCTTAAAAATTTCATTTTTTTCAATTTAATAATGTCAATTTCAAACTTGCAAGTTGAACTATAAGTTATGGTAACAAATTCATTTTTTAGCTTCGATGCGAAGCTGAGAAGGTATTTTTCATTAAAACTTTCACTTTAAAAGACAATAAAAAATAGGTTCAAAATGATTACCTTTAACATATTAAAAATCAAAATCAGTATTAATTTAATACAATTTTTTTTGTTCTTAATTATTTTTTTTTATATGTAAATACTTATTTTTTAATAATAAGTAATAATATTAAAACTTAGAAGTAATAGAAAAAGTTTAATTGCACATTTGAAAACATCACGAAAAGTTTATTTAGAAAAGTATATTTTTTTTCTGATGAAAGTTCCTTTTGTTTAGTGTATTTATTCATAAGTAACAAAATTTTTTTATTAAAAAGTATTGCATAAATTCCTTTAAATTTGTATACGCATTAAAAGTATATGAATATACAACTCCTTTTTATTTTTATAATATCTCCGTAAAAATTACAATATTATATTATTGAATACCACTTTCATACTCAATTTAATTACTGTAATTATTATGTATTCATATATTATAGTTATAAATCGGGGTAAAATTAAGGGAATAAGTGTTATTGTTGTTTTTGAAATAATCTACCAATTTCATTTTTTTCTATTTAATAATATTTATTTCAAACTTGCAAGTTGAGTTAAAAGTTATGGTAATAAATTCATTTTTTTTTTATTAAAACTTTCACTTTAAAGAACAAAAAGAAGTAGGTTCAAAATGATTACTTTTAACATATTAAAAATCAATAATAATTTGAAAATAATTAATTATAAAAATTATATAATATATAATTAAAATAATTACTAATCTGGATATAATTAAGGAAATAGGAGTTGATGTTGGGTTGGGTTGGTTACATTTTTAACTTTATAATGCTATAACTCATTGAAAAGTGTACGAATCAACACAATTTTTTTATGAGAAATAATATTTTTTAATAATCCCTTTTTCATTCGACATACTTTATCTTAATCAGGGTATTAATAAGAAACTAGCAGATAATGTAGCTTTTGTAATTATCCACCAATTTCTTAGAATTAAACACTATCTACTGATTTGCATCGAAGCGTTTCTTATGATAGTGATTTTAATCACTGTCAGATTAAATCTATACTGGACCCAACTATGCAACATCCCCACTATGACGCGACCCCACTGTGCTGGGTTTTTTTTAGAGTAAAATAATAATGAGTCACCTGAGAAGTATACCAATATGGAAGTTATCTAAAGAATCTATTGATCATGTAATTATAATTTAGATTTTAAATTATTATTGCGTATAATATAAAAATAATAAATTTTTAATTATTATGTAACAAAACACAGTGTACATCAATTAGGAAAACAAAACATTTTATGTAGTAAAAACTTCTCTTGAGGGGCTCTGGATTTCATTGGAATAAACAGGTGAAACGAGTTAGCGACACTGACAAATGTATATCTGTACACATACATTCTTTATGTATATAGTGTTCAGTCAGTAAGGAAACAGGTCAATTGTAACATACAATGAAAAACAACAGAAATTCGTAAGTCTATTACAAAGAATGGTGTCGAGATAATTATGGATGTTGAAATGAAAAATAAAGTAATAGTAGTAGCTAGGATAAATCGTAGAATTATAGTTGTAAAATTGATTTTCTAGGAAAAAGTGTTAAATGTAATAAATGTAATCAATGAAAAAGAATCAAGCAGTAGGACCATATGAAGTGCCAGTAAAAGTATCGGAAATATTAGGCAGAGTTGGCATAAGGTGGTTGAAGGAAATTTTAAATAAAATCTTTTTAGAGAGAAAAATCCCAAATTAATGTAGCAATAGTATTATGGTACCAATATTTAAAGGTAAAGGAAATTTATTAATCCATAAATGATGATCAATGTTTTTGTTCATTCATTTAAGTATTAAACTTCAAATTCGTTTCAGAATTATTTTTCCATTTATTTCAATTAGATTTACAATAAATTTTGGAAAATTATTTGAACATATGGTGATATTTGTATTAACCAATGAGTTTCATCGGAACAACAATATTTAGTTATCAAAATATTTTATTTTAATTAATGATTTTTTTATATCTTGTGATAGTTGTATCAATGCAATAATATATGTTACCAATGCCATGAAAATCTGAAAAAAAAAATTTATTAATGTATAAACTTAATTTGAATTATTGTTGCTCACTGAAGTACCTAATGTAATTATTTTAAATTATATCTAAGGAGATGCGTTTTTTTTTATATAATATTTTTATTAAAAATTTTAACATCCCAATTAATTGTGCCAAAATTTTCAAGAAAATGAATTTTAATACACCTAATTATATTTCTTGTCATGATACACCATTCCAAATAAATATGCTCTTATAATTATGATAAGTTTAGTCAGCTTTATTGTATGTTATCGGCCTCTAATACAAAATTTGGAATATGATTTTTCACTATAACGCAAATAAAATAAAATCTGTAGTAAATATTTTAGATTTTATTTTTTAATAACTTGTTATATTTATAATGTGAAATTTTAATTGTACTCTATTTTGCCTTTACGAGCGTTAGTTTATAATAAATACTAATTCTTATTTTGTTATATCTTAATTGATATTTGTTATAAATAAAAATAATAATGCTTTCTTTGAAACTATTAGTGTGCATTAAGTGAGAATATATTATAATGTCATGTACAACAAATAAGGCAATAACTCAAAAAATTCAACTTTGAGATTGTGAGGTATTTGGATTTAAGTTTTACTTTTTTTATAATAACTTCCATCGAAATATTGAAAATTTTGTTTAAATTTGAAATTAATTACTTAGAAAATTTATAAACATACAGTGTAATCAGAAAATACATTTTATTTTTGATTTCCTGAAAAATAAGAAAAGTGAATTACTGACTTATTTGTTGCGCATATCGATTTTATAATACACTTATTTACAATGAGTTAATTTGTATAAAAACTGAAATAATTATAACTGAGTTTTAACAAATGCCTATAAGTGATATAAATAGTCAATACATTTTAGAATATTTTTTATTGGTTATAATTTATTTATTTATAGTTTCTAGCAGTCGACTTGTTTATTATAAAACTTGTTTTTTATTATCCCACTCTGTTGAAAAATGTTAATAATATCAACAAAGTTGCTGTTAATAATATTTTTTGATTGATTTAAAAAGAACTTTGTCAGCATAATGACAAAATTATTAAGCAAATAGTTATTATTTGTTATTGATTAAAATGTTATTAATTCGACGAAAAATAATAGTTGTTAGTAGTAAACAAGTCACTTTGTATATTATTTTTTTATCATATTGTACTTTTAAGTATATTAATTGTCAGAACATTTCAATATCTCTTTAATCCAAAATTTTACTACTAATAAAATATTATTTTTTAAACTTATTTAAATGAAATAAAAAAAATAAATAAATAAAACTTACTGATGATATAATAGAATTTTTCACTGTAAAAAGCTTAGAAGCCGTAATTTTAGTATTCGAATTTTGTATTTGACACGTAAAAAAATTTATCTGTAACAATACATTTTAAAATAAGTTTTTTGAATAATTTTACACCTATCTTCTATAAAAAATTAATTTGCGAATAACAAAGTTTCTTAAGTTTTAATTATTAAAATCAAGTGAAGAAGATATCTGAAGAAAATGTCTAGTGTTACATCAATTTTAGCTTCGATGCGAAGCTGAGAAGGTATTAGTTTTACTAAGATGTGTTTATTTTTTTATTTTTTTTTTTTGTGTCTGTTACCACTTTTTCTCAGCTCTCACCGAACCAATTTCTTTCAATGATACGTCAAAAGATCACAAATTGTATCTAGTCGAAGACATTACCCTCAAAAATTGAAAAAAATGCCCTCGTTCCCCGTAAATGGGGGAAACCTCCAAAAAAATTACAAATTTAAAAATCGCTAATTTTCGAAATTTTTTCAATTTTTTTTACTTAAAAGTGCCATAACTTTTTCAAAAATGAACATATCAATATAATTCTTTTTTATATAGATGTGTAATATCATTACCTTTCGTTTGGTATATTTTATTTATAAATTTAACTCTTAAGCTGCCCACGAGGGGGGATTTAAAATGACAACTTTTTCAAAAAAAATTAACTTTTTCAACTTAACTTTTGAAAATGTTCCGGAAGGTCTGACACTTTTATATATATTTTAAATTAAAGCTAATGTAATGCACTTTATTATGGAAAAAAAAATTTCGTACTTTATTTTATCTTCACGGTGAAATAAAATAAAATAAAACGGTGAAATAAACACGGTGAAATAAAACGGTAGCCATCTTCACGGTGAAAATGGCTACCGAATGCTATTTTTGTGTGAAAATTTTCGATTTTGTATTTTATATTTTTAACTTTATTATGCTATAACTTTTTGAAAAATGTATGGATCAGTACAATTTTTTCATGAGGAGTAGTATTTATATAAATCTTTCTATTTAAATACTGGTTTTTTTAAATCCGACCATTTCCCTTAATACAGAGGGGATTCAAAACATAAAAATGCATATAGAAAGTAGAACTTTTTAAACGTAACTTTTGAAAGTGTTCCGGAAGGTCTGACACTTTTATATATATCTTAAATTAAAGCTAATGTAATATACTTTATAATGGCAAAAAAAATTTCGGACTTTATTTTATCTTCATGGTGAAAACAGACTTCAAAGTTTATAAAAAAATTCGATTTTTGTAAAAAAATTCATTTTTATATTTTTAACTTTATAATGCTATAACTTTTTGAAAGATGTATGGATCAATATAATTTTTTTTTTTTAGATGCATGATGTCTTTACCTATCATTTGGTATATATTTTTTTTATATCTGACCCTTTACCTGCCCACAGGGGGGGATTTAAAATGACCACTTTTTCACAAAAATTTACTTTTTCAACTTAAATTTTGAAAGTGTTCCGGAAAGTCTGACACTTTTATATATATCTTAATCCGTCGTTGGTACACATGTGAGCGCGCCGCTCACACAGATAGCATTTCGAGCGTTATTCGTACAAATATTATTGAATTAATCTGATACTATAAATACCTTCAAATAACATGTCTATAAATATTTTTAAAAATAAATGATTACGCTATTTGTCATTTCCTATCAGTTATCGATAGACAAAGTTAACTGTACCGATTTAGTGAGCGTCGCGCTAACACTGTACTAACCGCGCAATATTTTTATCACCACCGTCACAGTCGATTACGTACACGTGTTTTTACTATTTTTTAATTTATCATGTCCAATAAAGTTATTTCGTGGTTAGAAGAGACCGAAGAAGTTTTTTTAGATGACTCAGACGATACCGATGCTGATCCTAGTTATGTAGATCCCGCCGAATTACGTGAAAATGAGTCTGATAGTGACATTTCTGAACCTACACCTAGTATAATTACTCAAAGATCAAATACTTCACAAACCTCTCGTTCAAGAAGTCATAGTCCTATAGCACAGAATTCTTACTACTTAGGAAAAGATAAACAAACAAAATGGTATAAAGACGCTCCTCCTAAAAATGTACGTACTCGCCAACGTAACTTCGTTTTACGTTTACCAGGCGTAAAACCAACAGGTCGCAATGCAAATTCTATTTTGAAGTGCTGGAACTTATTTTTTGCTGTTTCCATGATTGACGATATAGTAAAATACACCAACATATATCTGGATAAAATTCGTTCAAAATATACACAAAAACATATGGTACGCGAAACCTCAAAATCCGAAATAAACGCGCTTTTTGGACTGTTATATTTGGCCGGTGTTCAACGTGGTAATCATCTCAACCTTGATGATTTATGGTCAAATGACGGCTTATCTCCAGAGTATTTTCGAGCAGTTATGCCAAAAGCACGATTTTATATTCTTCTAAGAGCAATGAGGTTTGACGATATAGGTACACGGGCTCAGAGAAAACAATTTGATAAGCTTGCGGCCATTCGTTCAATATTTGACGAATTTGTTCTACGCTGCGAGAATTATTATACAGTGTGGGCAAATGTAACTATAGATGAAATGCTCGAAAGTTTTCGAGGCCGTTGTAGTTTCCGAGTGTATATCCCAAGTAAACCTAACAAATATGGTATAAAAATCCAGGCCTTAGTCGACTCTAGCACCTTTTATACGTCGAAAATGGAAGTGTACGTTGGGACTCAGCCCGATGGGCCTTATAAATGCGAAAACGACCCAGCAAGTGTAGTAAAAAGATTAATCGCCCCAATTACGAAAACAGGTCGTAATATCACCATGGATAACTGGTATAATTCTATACCTCTAGCAATTGATCTACTAAAAAATCACAACACTACTGTAGTTGGTACACTTCGTAAAAACAAACGTGAAATTCCCCTTTGTTTTTTAGACACTAAAAAAAGGCAATTGAACTCTACGATGTTTGGTTATGACAAAGACATATTGCTTACGTCATATGTACCAAAAAAAAATAAAAATGTATTGCTTATTTCCACTATGCACGAACAAGGTGTCATTGATCCAGAGTCTGAAAAAAGAAAACCAGAAGTGATAACGTACTACAACAGTACAAAAAATGGCGTGGATTGTGTGGATGAAATGAAGGGCGAA